CAGTTTCTCTAGCAGGGACCCCCGTGCCTGTCCAGGTGCCAACCTGACCACCTGTGGGCAGACAACAAAGTGGGGGTGCAGGCAAGGCAGGCTGGACCCCTGAGCTGTGTGTCACTAAGGGTGACAGGACAGGGGCACCAAGGATGCAGGCAGATTCAGTCCCCTACAAGGAGGATACAGTCCCCACAGCAGAACAATCTGGAAGGAGGAATGAGAAGCCACATTGAGGGTGTGGTCCCCAGAGGCACGAAGACAAATGACACAGGGTACAGCCCAGGCCCACTGCGGAAACCTGGGTCCCACAGGCACAGCGACTTCCTGGCACTGAAGGGCTGAGCAGGTGACAGGAAGCGCTCGGGGCTCTACTGTGACCTGGACCGGGCACCGGTGCAGCCTCAAAGGTGGCCATGCTGGAAGTGTGGGGTGGCAGGGTGAGTGGGGGCAACGGGGCCACAGGGCAGAGGTCAGGCAGTGCTCAAGGGACCCCAGGAAGCATCTTTCTGCCTGCTGTCTCTCCACGAGCCCCCTCACACAACCTGCAGCCACTGCCCATGCTCTGAGTTAACATATCAGGGTCACAACAGGGCACCCCAAGTCCGGGAAGCTCTGCCTCCAAAGCAGTGAGCTAAATAAACTCTTCGCATAGGCGGGGGACCCTCGGTTCACAAACTTCACCCTTTCCACGATTCTGGTCCCAAACCAAATTGGACAAGAACTAAATCAAATTTCCCCACAAGGTCAGCACTGAACCTCACCACGGAATGGGATTCAGTTCTCATCCGACTTGGGTTTGCAGCCAGAACTGTGGAAAGACTTAAGTTCCAGAACCGAGGTCCCACCGTGTTACTCAGCCTCGGGTATTCTGTGATCGCGATGGAGAACGGACTCCTGCAGGCTCTGGGCCACTCTTCCTGCCCTCTTATCTTCTCAGTATGACCTTGATACAGTTTTCCTATTAGGGAAAAGTTTTCATTTCGGTGTTTCAAAAGCACACACAGCCTATGAACCAGAGAGGCGTCTGGCTGCCAAAGAGACATGGGGCAGGAGACAGAGTGCGGTTAGCCGTGGAGTCAGGAGGAGGTTCCCTACATCTCAGAGCTGGGGTCCCTCAGCGGCAGAGTGAAGGCTCTGGAGGAGCTGATTGCCAAGTCTTCCCACCCTGGCATCCCCGGGAGTGACACCTAAAGAGAATGACACCTACTGAGGCACACAAGGCAGAAGGATCGCCATGAGCTTGAGGCAGCCTGGGCTACAAGTGTTCAACACCATTTAAGTCCTTATCTCAAAGCAGAGACAGAGGCAGAGGCAAAAGGACAGAGCAGGTCAGACCTGCTAGGGTTTCCCTAAACTCTAGCAGAATCCATTCCCAGGCACCGCCAGGAAGAAGCAGGCAGGGAACTAACACTCTCCAGCCAGGCTGTCAGTGTGAGCTGAAATTCCCCCCCCCACGCCCCGCCCGGGGTGGAACACACACAGAGACACACGCAGACACACATGCTACCTGCCTCGAGAGGCGGGAAGCCTTCCTCACTAGCTACAGGCGTCTGCACCACGATCCAGCCTGGCTTTATCATTGTGCAAGTCGGGGGGACATCTTCCCAGGAACCCCAGAGTTCCAAAGCCCTTCTTTCAAGGACAGAGACAGCAGGCAGCGCCCCCTCCCCTTAGGACTGCAGCACAGAGAGAACAGAGAAGGACTTTAACCTGGACAGCCCGGCCGACTGCTCCCCACCTGCCTCCCCAGCACCCTTCACCCCCACTCCAACAGGCTTCTCCACTCCCTTCTGCCCTGACAGTGCAGCTGTTAAGGGCCTGGAAATTCTCCTTCCTGAGTGTCCTTACGAGAGGGGATCAAAATACAGTGAGCGCTGCTGAGGGCCATCCGATAGAAAGGCGTTCCTGAGAACATCACAGCGCATCCTCATCCACCTTGTTCACCAGGTCTGGCACTGTGTGACTTCAGGCTCATCCCCAAGGTCAAGATAACCACAAAAGGGAGGCGACCTAAATCCATTCTGGACATGGAGGCAGCTACAGTAACACAACTGAAGACGCTCTGGAAGGAGGACTCCAGAGCTGCTCCAGAACATGGCAAGAACCGCGGGACAAGTGTGTGAGAAGGCGGGAGGAGGATTTTTGAGGGGGATCGCGGGAAGTGTCTTTCATTGTCACACACTTTGTAAAGCCTTTAACGCTTATTTTTAGAGCATACCTCAGGGTCTTTGGGTGCAGATGAAGATCAGCATTTGGTACTACTTAATGGTCTTCACCCACCTTACTACTTTACCCAGACTGGGACCCACCCACCCCATGTCTGGCTCAGGGCCTCTCGAAGAATGGTTTTCCAGGTTTTCTTTCCCAACAGCCCTTCGGGGTGCTCGAACTCCAAGCTTAAGTGCAAGTCACCCAGTATCAGTGCTTAAGATCTGTACAATGCTTTCAACAGCATTACGGATTCCACTTCATTGAACCAAAAGGAATCATTTTTTAGAAAGGTGCTCTAACCCCAAGTCAGCTTCACCTAGACTAGGTGAAAAATAGCTTCCATCCTGCAAAGAGAAACGAGGCAGCAGGACGCAAGGAAGAGCAGCCATGAGGAGCCACCAGTTTCCCAAAACAAAAAAACCCAGCCGTCTCCACCCCAGCCACAGCTCCCCCACTTTAGCACACCTCACTACCTAGGGCCATGGGAAAGAGCCTCTGGGTCCAGTCGTTTCCCCTCTAGGAAGAAGCCCTGGTCAGTCTCGCTCACCGGGGCCCAGGGTACAGAGCAGAATAGCGCCTACCCACCATCAGCTCACAGTCTGCACTGTGCAGGGGAGGGAGTGGGGAACAGTCCCAAAGTGAGGACAAGGAGGCAGCCAAATCTGTCCTCCAGCCCCCAAGATCACCACCCCAACTTCCCAGATCCAAACCGTCATCACCAAGCCAAGCATCGATTTCCACTTTCCTCTTGCTTCTTCCCACCGATGTGCTGTGCACATGGGAAGATGTTTTTTCACTGTCAGTTAATGGATTTGCACTTTGTTTTTTGTTCTTTTCTTTTTTTAAAATTTATTTTTGTCTTTTTGAGACAGGGTGTCTCTGTACAGTTCAGGCTGGCCTTGAGCTTACTCTGTAGCCCTGGCTGGTCTTGAACTCAAAACAATCCTTCTGCCTCAGCCTCCCGAGTGCTGGGATTACAGCAAGCGCCACCATGTCCGGCTGCATTTTGTTTCTTAAAAATTGGTTCACACCTCAAAAGAGTGGTGAGCAGCAGAGTGTGGGCCAGGATAGACGTGGAGGGAACTCAGGAAGAGCAGTGGGGACCTGGGCTCCAGGCCCACCCGCTTCCCATGCCCACATGTGACCTGACACAAGGCCTCCTGTGGGGATCGACTTCCCCATGGAAACACTGAACACAACACCTCGATAAATGCGGTCGCTCCCCACCTGTCACCATTAGGAGTGGAGGACGGTGGAGGAAGCCAACTCTTACGCATGTCTGGACTTTGAAGAGAGGTGTCTCAGCCAGGTGTCCTGGCTGTTGGCAAAGGGGCCCAGGAACCCTTGGGTGACACGCGAGCGCCCCTCACCCTATCTATGGCTGCTGTTCAAGCCTGCTCCCTTCGAGACCCTCCAGGCTCACTGCCTGGCCTCCCTGTAAGGTCCTGATTCTGGCACGCGATATGCACTTCCTGGGCCAGCAGCAGGTCCAGCTGCAGGTCAGCGCACTCACCAGAGTGCAGGCCTCCTCCACTGTCTCCCCACAAATGCCCCCTTAAACAGCATTGCCTCACTGTCAGCACCAACTCAGCCCCAGTCCCCTTCCTCATGCACGGTTTCTCTCATGGGTGTCACTCGTGTCCTGCCCGGCCCGAAGGCCAGAAGTTACGCTTCCCTCTTCACAATCTCCCACAGTAACAAACAGCAGCCTGACTCTGGGCTCCCACCTCTCGTTTTTTTTTTCAGTCGTGTCAAATAAACCAACAGATCGAGCCTTTCTGAACTGGTTTCGTGGAGGAATGATGGGCAGATTCCTGTGCACCCCCAGAGGACCTCAACCTCCTCACTGGGCACTGAAGAACCCCTGCTCCCTCAACTGTCCCCCCACTCAGCCTGCCCCCCTCTCCTCCGTACACCCCACTCCACATCCCCTTTTCGTTGAGCTCAGCCCAGCTGGTCCGGCACCCCGTGCTGCCACCACAGTGACTTGGTACCTGCTCCTGCCCGAGACCTGATGCATCTTCTACCATGCACCCTCCCAGGAATGGATCCCAGATCGCTGCCACCTTAACCCTTCGCTGAATTCCCATGCATCCCAGATGCCAGGCATTGTTCCCCTTCTATGAAATTCGCCTGCACGGGCTGAGCTGGGAGCTCTAAAAGGACAAGGGTCAGGAGCTGTTCCCTCAGATCCGGGCTGGGCCCAGGCCCACACAAGGCCAGGGAGAGCCCCGGTGCTGCACAGAGCCAGAGGACAAGGCCTCTGCTTGCTGTGGCGCAGGTAGAAAATAAACCACTCCATGTGCGGTAAGAGCTAAGACTACTTCTAGCACAAGCTTCAAGACATCCCTGCTTTGAGAAGTGTTCCTTACAGGCCGACTCCAATGTTTAAGTACGAAAGGAACCCTCAGGTCTGCTGTATTCACCCAAAACACCACAGCCAGAGGTACAGACCAGGTCTGGATCACTAGCAGACCTGAATCCCCTACTCTCCCCAGCGACAGTGCCAGGTCCTCAGGGACAGGAGGTGCCGATTCTGCTGCCTCCCGCATGGAAGTTGCCCTACACCAGCAGTGACCAGGGCCTTCCTTGGACCCCTGCACTGTCCCGGGACCCTTTATGTGTCCCAAGGGTCGCTCAGTGCGAAAGGTAAAACGCCACTCACGCCAGGTATCGGTGGGGAACTCTGAGACCGGCTGATCCGTCCCTCTGCCGCCCGCACGACGCCCCCTGCCAGCCTTCAACTCCCCAAGCGCCTCGGGCCCCGCTGAAGCTCGGCCGAGGGGCGCACTTACCCGCGCGCGGTAGCTCAGGCCGGGTCCCAACAGGTGCTGCTGCGGGCACGGCGGCTCCTGCCTAGCCCCGGGGGTCGGCTCTGCGGGCCCTGGCAGCGGGCAGGGTTCGGGGGGCAGCGGGGTGGCCCTGCGCCCTGGCGGGCCCGGCGGAGGCGCGGGAACGGGATCGTGGGCGCCGCGGGTCCTGCCCCCGGGCGAGGCCGGGCTGCCGGGCGCCGCGTCCTGAGTCTCCTGCAGCTTCAGCCGCGGCACCTCTTTGGTGCCCCCCAGGCAAAAGTTTTTCAGGCTCAGCAGGGCGGCTGGATTGGCGAGCTTCATGCTGGCCATGCGGGGGATCAGGGTGCACAGTGGGGTGGGGCTGTCCGGGGCGGGCGAGCAGGCGTCCTCAGGGGGCTCCGGGGCGAGGCTGGACGGCTGCGGGGCGCCTTTGCTCCCGGCCGGGCCCGGGAGGCCGCCCTCCTCGGCGGCCTGGATGGGCTCGTTGCGGAAGCGGCTGTACTTGGCGCGGTGCAGCATCCCGGGGTGTCCCGCGAGCCCTGCGCACAGCACGAGCCCCGCCAGGCCGTCCTGGCCACCGCCTCGCATAGCCTCGCTGGTCCAAAAGGGGTCCTTCCCCCGCGCCGCCGCGCTCCCGCGCCCTCCCGCCTCGGCCTCCCCAGCCGGCCCGATTGTCCCTCTCCGGCTCCGCCTGCTCCGGGCTCACCGCCCCAAGCCTCGCAAGGGACCGGGCGCAGACTCAGCCGCGCTGCATCGGGAACTTTCAGACTCGCTCCCGCGGGCTCCCCTGGGGCGGGGCGGCCTGCAGCCCTTTAACCCTTCGTGCGTCCCCGGGATCGCTCATTGCAACAGGAAAAAAGCTGTGCATACGAGCTCAGGGCCCTGCTGCCCGGAGCCCGCGGGTCCTGTCCGCCGCGCTCATGCACCGGCCCGGAGTCCCCTCCTGGCCGCAGCCTGCAGCGCCGGGGACAGCGGGCGTCGACCTGGGCCTGGCCGCCCCGCCCCGCCCTCCCTCCTCCTTTCCCTTCCCTCCCCGACTCCTCCCGCAGCTCCTTGCAGGGCCGGGGGCCCGCGGATGGCTGGGGCGTGCAGCTCGCTGCACAGAGTGCTGAAATTTTTATGAATGAACTTTGCCGAATGGAGCCTTCTCTGCGCGCCTGTGCGAGCTAATAAACCCGTGAATGGAGCAGAGAATAGCTGCCATTGACGGGCGGCCTCGGAGGAGCTCGGCTGCCGTCCAATCAGGGAGCGGCTGGTGACTCAGGCACTATAAATACGCTCAGCTAGTAGCTGAAAGGAAGGCAGGGGGAGAGAGTGGCGGGAGTGGGCTAAGGGAGGCAGCCCTCGCTAGCTGGCTGGCGACCCCCAGCAGCTTCTGAACTGTTCTCTTTCCCTAGAGCCAGGAGAGCCAGGGATCTGCTACACTGTTCCTGATGTGAGGACACTGGGTACATGACTCCCCCGGGAGGGCAGGTTGCATTGTTCTTAGAAACAGTTCTCGTGCTCTTTTTTCATTTTATATTATTGGTTACATCTTCTGTCTGGTACAGTTTCCCGACCTCAGCAAAGCACGCCCTGGAAGCAGAATGACAAGGTCTCTGCTGGGCCCACACGACACTGGCTTCCTTTTTAGGAGGTGCTGAGGTGGGGAAGGGGCGGAGGAAAAGCTAGTAAGTATCTGAAGGCAGCACAGCAGCGTCCCCTGGGCCCAAGGCGCTGTCTTCCATCACTGTTCATTCATTCAACTGTCAAGACTAAGACTCAAGCTGGGGAAGGGCAGAGCCTGGGCCTTGAGCTGCACCCCCTCGCACATATTCATGGCCGATGACCCAAGCCCTGGCCTGGGGACCTGACCAGGTTAGGACCTGCAAGGCTACCGGCAGTCAGGGAGGAAGGCAGCCTTGCCAGGCTCTTGCTCTGTGTCCTGCAGGGATGTGCTTCTCCCAGGAAGGCCTGTCTGGACCTGCCTACATTTTCCTTTCAATCCTTGCTGACCGTTTTTGGTCCAGACACCTCCTCCTAGCAAATCTAAGCTGCAATGGCTCCACCCTTCAGAATCCACATCCTTGGGGCTGAGAAGGCAGACTCAGGGCAAGTATGCCAAACAAGCAGGGCGGTGTCTCTTCCTCCCTGTTGCTTCCTTTCTTCCTGAGCCCTGTGCCCTCTCTTGCTTACCCAGGGCCATCATACACACCTGCTGTGCTGCCTTGACAAAGTTATTACTTTGAAGACTATTACTTCTCTGTGCCTAATTTCCTCCTGTTAGCAGCAGCTGTCTGAGGGTGGGGGTCAAGAAGAGTTTGTGAGATCATCATAATGGTTGCAAGGCCTTGTGGAATGCTCTAGATCAGTCAGTGGCACCAGGGACAGTTTCCATGGAAAACAATTTTCCTATGGCAGGGGGGATGTTTGGGATGATTCAAAGGGGAGCAAAACCTAGATGTCTTGAACACACGGTTCCCAGCAGGGTGCAGGCTCCTTTGAGAACCAGCTGGTGTGAGGGGAGGTGGAGCTCAGACAGAGGTGCAGGTGATGAGAAGCAGCTGGAAACAGATAATGCTTTACCTCTGCTCACCTGCTGTGTGGGCAGGTTGGTCTCAGAAGCAGTGGGGCTGGAGGAAGCCCTGGAGTTTGTTTCCTACAGATTCTAGAAGGGTTGGGAAGTCAGATCAGCCATAGTGAGTGACCTAGCAGAACATTCTCCACCTCCTGTCTTCAGCTCTCCACAGCAGGGTTAGAAGAGTTCTGTGAGCTGGGCTTGATGGGAGATTCTGGTTGGAGTCCAGAAGACTAGAAGGCTGAGAGAAATGCAGGCTCACGAGATTTCAGTTGGGAATAAGCACTCCATGAGCAGTTAGAATCAAAACCATATGTGTTATTCTCTGGCAGAAATTTTGTCCACATTTTGTTCATGTCCTAAGATTTTGTGGGAGACCAGGATTGAGGATGGCAGACTACTTAAACTGACAAATGAAATCTCAAGGAAGCCCAATGTTCAGGCTGCCACATGAATCTTGTCAGGAGAGTTTAGCCAGCTCCATATTGAGAATTAAGAGCAAATGGCACAACTAAGTAATTTTAAGGTTCTAGTTTCCCCAGAAAGGAAAACCCTGAAATATTTTGGTGGAGCAGAGCGTGGTTCCTAAAAAGATTAGCATTAAAAACAAGCCAAGTACTTTGCATCAAAATAGGAAAAGTGCTTTGAGGACATCCCAGGAATCTGCAAGAGCTGGAATGTCCAAACATGAAAGATTTATTTTGAGAAAAAAGTGCTAGGGAACCCAGCTCATGCAGGGCCAACTAGAAAAGACCTTGCTTCCCTGGACCTTACCCATACCAACACTCAGAGGCTTCTGCAGCCATGATCCAAGGAGGCCCAGCTCTTGCTCAAGCTGGCAACAGACCTTGGCATCATCTACATAGTATAGATTACAAGAATTGTAAGACAAAATGCCTGACACCCAAAAGGCAGGAAGGAAAGATTAATTTAGCTCAGAGTTTGTGGAGGTTTCAGTCCATAACCAGCTGGCTCCAGGGCCGGATGGCGTGGCACAGGGGCATTTCATGGTGGCAGAAGCCCACAAAAGCAGCAAGAGCAAAAAGGGGGAGAGCAAGCTTCTTTTCCTCCCTTACACTGTAAGCAAGCTCACTGCCCAACAGTGGGTGCAGTGCTCACACCATCTCCCTGCCCTCCTCTTGCACAAGATGAGGATGTTTACAAAGTAAAGATCCTGACTCCCTGCTGTGTTGCTGAGTTAAACTTCCAAACTTCTGGGTTGACACAATGACTCAACCATCACAGTTGGTCAACAGCTATGACTCTCTTGGGCTCTCATATATGGTTTTCATCAGTAACAGTGCTTTGGCACCAATAAAGAACAATAGCCTAGATGTTGCCGTTGAAAATATGCTTCCTTCAGGGAACCAAACTATAGAACCTCTTAATACTTCAGCTTGTCATTCAGAGAAGCAGTGGAGGAAATGGAAACCGCAGTTGAGAAATTACACATTGTGGCAGAGAGTTTACAAACTAGTCACTGAACTTTTCCTGCAGCCTGTGGATTCAAGCAAGGTGGGTGTCGCCAGAGCTCTCTACAGAGATGTGATGTGATTGCTGGGCAAACCCCAGTTCTGTTGGTGTTCTCGATTAGGAGCCCTCAGAAGCAAAGAAAGGCACCAGTTCTGAAATCTCCCCTCGAGTTGCTTCCTGAATTGTATCACAAGGAAGAAGTGCACGCTTCCTCCATGAAGAGCTGTGCTTTGGATGCTGATGCATCATCTGATAATGTGCCATGTGAACATCTGACTGAGAAAACACGAAATTGAACGATCCATTTCTGAAGTGTGCCGCACTTCTGCTGAAGAACGCTGGAGAGTCTGTTCCTTTCACTGAGCCCCTGAAAGCTTTGGATTTTATGCAAAGCAACTAAGGGAATTCAGGGACTAAGGGAATTCTGAAATAAGCAGAGACAGCCTTGGTTTTTGTATATTTGTGATCTTATGTCTTAATGTTGTTTTTAAGATGTGATGGAAAGGAATGAATAAATAAATAAATGGAAAAAAGAAAGAGTAAGCATTAGCTTGGGAGTTACCAAACCAGCTGTAGGATCTCTCTAGGTTATCTAACCTCTCTGAGACTCAGTCTTGTCATCTGTAAATTGGCTATGATATATCTATCTACTGGGCACTTACTCAAGACCAGGCCTAAACTAACTGCTTCCCACGGAAGTTTCCCAGCCACTGCACTAAGCACTCACTGCCCATGTTGCAGGGCCAGTGAGGGTCAGGTCTGGGGAAGATCTGAGCGCCAACTCTCATCAGCTCATCCTTGGCCCCTGGAATGGAATCCCACAAAACCAGTCCCAACCCTATGGCCTGCTAGGTGGGAATTCTTGCTTTTTTCCCCTTGGAGATCTAGAAAATTCATCAGAAATACTCACAAGTAAAAATATGAATAGTAGATTTAAAAAAAGCCATTACTGTCACTAAACCATCAAAGAACCATTCACCCCTTTCATGGCACCCACTATGGAGGTCTCCTTTGCTCAGAGACTCCCTGTCCCTTGACAGGTGCCTTCTTTGGGGCAGCTTCCCAGCAGGGGGAACACAGCTGGGGCTCCCTGGGCCTACTCTGTGGACCGGGGAGCACAGGAGACAGGGAACTGAGAGTGGGCTGTCCAGGGCCTCAGCAGAACCCAGTGTGGAGCATTGCTGCTTTGAGATTGTGATGGTTTATGCCTGTGTGACCCCCTAAACACATGATCAGAGGTGGCACCTTTGGAAGGTGACTGGATTATGGGGCTTTACAGATGGGGTCTGGTGGGAAGACATGGTCACTAGGGGTGTGGCCTAAAGTGGTCTTCTCCCTTCCTGTTTCCTCCCTGCTTCCTGGCCACCATGAGGTGAGCAACTTCCTTCCGCCCAGCCCCTTTCACTGTGCTGTTCTGCCTGGGAGCCAGCAGACCATGGACTGAATCCTCTGCAAACTGAGCCAAAACAAATTCCTCCTTTTATTTGTGAGTATCAAGTATTGTGTCCCAGGAATGAGAAGGTGACAGGCAGGAACCAAGGACAGCAGAGTCATCATTTCTGTCACAAAGGAGACCAAAGCCTGGAAAATGTCCCCAAGCAACCCCAGAATGCATCTCACTGCCGTCAGTGAGGGAGGGAAACAGCAGAAACCCCAGAATGGGGAAGATCCTGTGAACAATGTTTACATCAAGTTCTTGGTGTGTGGCGTTGAAGGCGCTTTCCTCTCCATCCTTGAAGTCACTGGAATAAACTGACAAAGTACACAGGGGGAAGAGCTGGGGTGCCTGGGTTCATTTGAGCAGGATGTCCTCTGGGAGGGGGCTGGACCTGCAGCCCCAGATCTGCAGATGATCTCCAGGCCACGGCCACTGTGCCTGGCCCCCAGGTCTTCTTTCTGTGGGGAGACCTCAGAAATGGAGGGGACATCAGGTGGAGAGGCCTCTGTGACCTCTGCTGTTTGT